TTTATTTAGAAGTTGTGATTCTGACACTTCATGTTCATTGGTTTTAAATGTCTTTTAATTCCTTCTTGACTTAAATCTGTTATGCCTAGTTTACTTCCATTTCTATCATACATGCTTACCAAAATTAATTCTATTAATAAACGATCATTGCCAAATTCAAATGCCAAAATAGCTTTTCATAATAGCTGATTAACTTTAATAGTGGCCAAACTTAAAGCTCTGAATGGGCTGGGCTAGCCTGAAAGTTTTTGGGCTGGGTTTGGGTTGTTGACTGTAGTTGGGACTGAACTGAAAAGTCTGAACCTAACCTGAAACCCAAAAACGTTTTGGACTGTACCAATTATACTTGAGGTCAAAATTATTAAATCGCAATTAAAAATCCCAAAATTTTGTATTGCACCACTATCATAATTTTATACAATTGGCACAAGATGCAATTCATGATGCAAGTCTCAATTGATGGTGTAAATATACATAGGATGGTAATTACCTAATTACCGTAAATAAGTAATTCGTAATTAACGTAATTAATTACTATTACCACTTTTACTCTTTAAAAACGTAATTACGAAATTAATTACGGGTGACGAAATAATTACGGGTGACGAAATAATTACGGGCGACGAAATTAATTAGGGGCGACGAATTAATTACTATTGTGAAATTTTTATATGCAAACCGTTGTTAACACTACACTGGTTAACAAATGTCAAAACTTTTGCTATATACCAAAGCAAATAAACAAAACCTCAGTTCTATGCCAACAACCAAATGGACAATTAAACACACTGTTTAATTTCTGACTACAAAGTGTTTTTATAAGCGAAACAATGAATTTATTTATTTTTACAAGTTAAATTAATGATAATAAATAAAATATTTCTGCCTTTACTTATTAGCAAAGCTCTGAAATTTAATCAATTAACCTGTTGTTTTTTTGGGTTAAAATCATTTCACTAATTTATATGTAAAATCATTTATTCATTAAATGTCAAAATTAAATTTAATTTTTTAAAAAACCAAATTGAAATAATCTCTCATCTATACATATTGTCAAAATTAATTTGGCTTTGACCCAATTCCAAAATCTCAATTTTTAATTGTGTCTTGACTCAATTATTTATATGTTTCCATATGACTCAATTATTTATATGTTTCCATATGACTCAATTATTTATATGTTTCCATATGACTCAATTAATTGCGTCAAAGAGTCACCTGATTGAGTCAAGTGATATTCTGCCACATGTATAATCAATCTCATCTATTTTGATTATCTCAAAGTATCACAAAATTTAATCTAGTCGATGTTGAACCAAAAAGTTTAAGGACAAAAAATGAGTAATTCAGGTGAATTAGACGAAATTAATGAAACAAAAAAACGATCTGGTCGACCAAGGGAAGAAGTTTGGGAATATTTTGAAGAAAAAGGAGAAAGAATAAAAGGTCATTGTGGTGGAGTGTGCAAGTTTTGTGGCTGGGAGAAAAGATTAGCACAACCTAATGATATGAGAGAACATCTTGCTTTTTATTGTAAAGAAGTACCTTACGAAACAAGAAAACATTATTTAGAAGTTATAAAAAATTATTCAATTTTAAGTAAGAAACAAAAAAAGAAACAAAAAATTAACCAACAACCAAAAATTTATGAAAAATTTGAATCAACAAAAATTGACTCTGCTAAAATAGATATGGCAAATCGTGCTATTGTGAAATTTTTCGCTTGTTGTGGTATCCCTTTTCATATTGTCGAAAATCCATTTTTCATTGATCTGCTATGTACACTGTGTCCAGGCTATTCCCCCCAAGTAGACATACTCTTTCTGTATCAATGCTTAATGTGGAGTTGGCATTTATAACTGGTGAAATTAATGATATGCTGAATGTTGAAACAAACCTTACCTTGGGTAATAATTGTATATATATATATATTTATTTATTTATTTATTTATTTAATTAACATCATTATGTATAAATTTTATTTAGCGCTGGACGGATGGACAAGTCCATCAGGTCAATCTCTTTACGCCTTTATCATCATTACAAAAGACAGGAGAGAAATTGTTCATTCGATACAAAATTTGTCAAAAGAATCCCATACAGGTATATTCCTTTCAGAAAAAATAATCGAAGTAATTGAAAATGTAGGGGGTCATGAGAAGTTCACTGGTTTGGTATCTGACAATGCTAGCACCATGGTCTTGGCAAAAAATTTAGTTCATCAAAAATATGAAAATATAATTCCCATCCGTTGCATTTCCCACCACATTAATCTTCTTACCACAGATATTTGTAAATTGGAATTTGCAAGGTCAATTTTAAAAAAATGCATGAAATTAGTAAGATTTTTTAAAACTTCTCACCAAGCAAATTATCATTTAAAACAAGAAATAATTGAAAGTATGATACAAGGTGGTGGCTTCAAAAGTTATTGCAAAACAAGGTGGACAACTGCTTGGGATTGCACAGCTTCTGTCCTCAAATGTGAAAATGTTTTGAAAAAGGTTATTAATATTATATTTTTTATTTCAATTAAATTAAGTTAAATTAAATTAATTAAACCATTTGATTTTAGATTGCAGATGAAAATCCAGAATATCTAAATGAAGATATTAAGGCTATTATAACAAGACAATTTTTTATGAATGTTGAAGAATTAGAAAAAGTATTGAAACCAATAAAAGAAGCAGTGAAGTGTTTGGAAATGAAGTCAACAACTTTAGCGGATTGTTTTTGTCAATTAATAAAATTATCATTTTCAATAAAAAATCTACCAGAATCAACATCCACTTTCCGTAACCAATGTATCACCACCTTTAATAAAAGATGGAAACAGTTTGACTTTAATTTGTACATGTTGGCTTATCTTCTTCATCCACAATATCGTGGTATGCATTTATGTATTTATTCAAAAAGTTAAGCAATTCAACTGCTCATTTTTTCTAATTTAATAGGGAAAGGTTTTCAGAAAACTGTATTTTGTCATGTGGTTCACTGGGCCATTAAAAATATTTGGTTAAAGATGGGTGGTGGATCAAATTCTACACCAAAACTAATTGCACAACTAGCTGCCTATCATGAAAGAAAATCACCATATGAAGATGAATTTGTACCTGCATACTACTCAATTGAAAGTTGGTGGAGATTAATAGAACAAAATGAAAATTACATACAAGAACTTGCTCTGAAAATTTTATTAATAACTCCAACAAATGCAGGTTGCGAGAGAGTATTTTCAGTTCTTGGGTGGTACATGAATAAAAGAAGGACAAGGTAATTATTTGTTAAATATTTCCAACTTAAAAATTAGTATAAAATTTAATACTAAATAATATTAGGTTGAGTGTGGAACGATTACAAAGCCTTTCTAAACTCCATGCTTATTATGTCTCAAATACCAAAACTGAGCTGAAATTTGCAGTTCAAAATATGAATGATGATGATATTTATAATGCTATGCAAAATATTTTTTCTGATGAAGTTGAATTAGATGAAATTGATGAAGAAGAATTGGAAAATTTTGATGAAGTAGAAAATATTGAAGATGAAGAAACTTTTGATATAGATAATGGAAGCAATGGACAATTTGATAATAATGATAATGAAATGCAAATTGAAAATTTTTTCAATCTAGTAGATAAAGAATTAGCAGAACTATTAAAAACACAGGAAGTTCAGGTTGTCATTGAGCCAATAATTATTGATCATGGTGAAAAAGAATTTGATATAGATGATTTGTTGGACCAAGAACTTGTTGATTAAAAAAAATTTTTTTGTTTTGTTGAAAATTTTGGTTGAAAAAAGGGTTTTTTGAAATTTTTTACTTTACAAGTTATATGTTTTTAATAATACTTTCACACGAAGGACTTTTTTTACTTCAAAGACAAGCAAGATATTGTTTATGGTTAACAAAAATTTTAAATTTTATGTGAGTACTTTTATTTAGTACTTTATAAAGTGTAAAAAGCATATAAAATAAAAAATTATTGTCCATAGTTAATTTTGTTTACAATGAATAATTTCCGTTGCTTGTAATTAATTTCAAATAATTTCGTCACCCGTAATTAATTTCGTCAATAATCAATAATTTCGTCACCCGTAATTAATTTCGTCACGCGTAATTAGTTTCGTAACCCGTAATTAATTTCGTCACCCGTAATTAATTTCGTCAATAATCAATAATTTCGTCACCCGTAATTAATTTCGTCACCCGTAATTGGTTTCGTAACCCGTAATTAATTTCGTCACCCGTAATTAATTTCGTAAATAATTTCGTAATTACGTATTACGTATTACGTATTACGTTTTTGGCAAAACAATTACCATCCCATGTATAGTCATATTAAAGGTATATCCAAAGAAGCAATTGAACAGATTCTGGGAAAAAGAAAAGAGAAGGTCCGATTATTTGAAACTTATCTAGAAAACCTAGTGGATATATTTGATGATTTTGATGATAATGATGATAATGTGGCAAATTTTTCTATTTATTCATTTTATGCTTTCACGTTTTATCAGTTTATATTACAAAAGTTTTTGTTTTGATAAGATTACAGAATTAGAAGTGGCCAAATAGTTATAGTGTATGATGGAGATGTCAACGATGATGTTAGTTTGTCTTTTATTGTTATTGATTTACTATTGTCACTTTTCTAATGTCAATATAAATTTCATTTGATAGATTGTGGAAACAGATGAAGAGGAGCATAGTGAATATGAAAACAATGATGATGAAATCATGGTTAGATTTATCTTCTTTAAATTTACATATTAGTGGTATATACCACAATTTATTTCTTGTGTAATTTTTTAGTAGGGTATATACCCCTCAAATCATTTATAACATGTTATATACCCATCCCTAGGTATGGCGCAAGCAATTTTTGCCATCTCAAATTTAGCCAACGAAATCAAATATCCACTATGCTTTTGTTGTGTAACAAATAAATTTTCAGAATTTTAACTCACAAAGAACCAAATTTTTATTTATTTTTGAATATATGGCAAGCTTACCAACTAGCACTCGTCAACTTCGTGCTTGTCTTGTGTGTTCTCTTGTTAAGGTGACAATGGATTTATTTAATTTGTGTTCTTGCATTCAAAAGTGTTTGTTGGCTTGTTAATTAATTGATTGATTAATAAATTAACTAGCAAGTTGACCAATTTCGTACTGAAGGTTGTGATAATTGCGAAGGTTTCTTACATTTTAAAGATTCGAATAAAAGAACACTAGAGTGTACGAGTTCAAAAATCGATGGGTTAAATTTTTATTTATTTATTTTTCAAGATTTATTTTATATATATATTTGTATACATTTAATTTAATTTTTCTCCCTCCTTTTTTTCCCCATAACAAAAAGTGTAATTGCAAATATAAAACCAAATCAATCATGGGTTTCAAGAGTTAAAAAACTTGGTAATATATTATTATGTGATATTTCAAAATTAGCAAAAAAAAAACTAATAAATAAATTTTTTTCTAGATGAATGTGTTGAAGGTATCTATGCAGTTGGTGTAACTGGTACATTACCAGATTGGGCTGAGGATGCTATGAGACAACTTGGGATTAATTATATACCTAGGGATGGTCATCATATTGATGATGGTGGTGAAGAAGAAAAAGAAAATCGATAATTATATTAATAAAAGAAAAAATATTTTAGATTTGAGAATGTAACAATTAATTTTTGTTATCAATTTAATTTTTTATTAGAGTATTAAATTTAAAAATTTTATGGTTGCAGAGTGTGGTGGCCAAATATAATGATGATTTTGATTTTTTTAAAGAACAATTTTTTGGAAGCTAGAGACCTTTTTTATCAACCAACAGAGTTAAATTTTGAGTTCCTTTATAATTTGTTTAACAACTTTTTTATTTTTAAAAATTTTCCATTATATTATTTCTCAGAAGAGTATCTTTCAAGGCAAATATTATTCCATCAGCATACCATTTGGCACCATAATTTAATTCTTTTAAGAAAGATGTCATTGATGACAGAATGTTTGAGAGTCTTTGAGTGAATGCAAAATTAAAGTCTCTCAAGTGTGAGGGGATTGCCTGACACCTAAACTTTAAAAGGTTAGAGTTGATATTAAAGAAATTAACAAAGTTTGTTGGACATAAAACAGCTTTACTATTTTCCTCACATTGATCTTGCTTAATATCTTATTCATCTATTAATGCATAAATGTTTTATTAGTGTTATAGTGTCATAGAAATATTAAAAATCTTTAGAAGTGTAAAATTCACATATTTTTTAGAAGCAATAACATTTAATGATGTATTTATATAATGTTAATAAATCATGAGTTAATAAATTTGATTAAAAATTATTTATTTTATTAATTATTTTTATAAATTTCATTATTAGAAACATTCTCATCCATAATTCCAAAGTAACTATCTTGGCAATATATAAATTATAGTTGAGGTAGTCTTACTTGTTTTGTTGTTGTTCATAATAACTATTACTATTTGGATGTAAATTTTAATGGTTTATCATGCTAAATATTTGATTTAACAAATTTAATAAGACCATTATTAACAATGTGTCCATTTAACATTAACTTATTTGTAAATAACTTTGTGATCAATATATTAATTAATTAAAATATATGGTTTATATATATATATTTTTAAACTTATTGGCATGAACATTTCCTTCTTTTTTTACTTTTTAAAATAACAATAATAAATATCTAATAATTTTTAAAAGTTTTAAAAACTGCTCTAATCAATCTTTTAACACTTCTCCATTTTTTTCCTTACTGCTATACGAATCTTTGTTAACATGAATTCTCTGTGTTCTTCTAATTCTGCTCTGCTATATCTACCTTTACTTGGATCGGCTACTTGTAAAACAGGAACTTGCTCTTGTAAAGACTTATTAAATAAATAAAGTTTAGGTGGACTGTCATTAAATCTAACAGAAAGTCTTGATGCCTTAATTGTTCACCCACCACCAAGAAATAAAAAATCAATCAATTAATTAATTTGCTATATATAAATAAATAAATAAGCCAAACTATTTTCTGCCTACTTGATTTGAATTTGTTTTCAAAATTCCATTTTTAGTACAAAGCCATCTGCTTGGGAGGTTATTTTAGAAATTTTTTATTATGAATTTACTAAACAATAATGTTATAAATCTTGATAAATATTTTTGGTCAATTCTTTCTATAAAATTTGGTAGTATTATCAGTAAAACTTTATTAATTCCCAATAAGATCAATAAACAACATATTATTATTGAATAATCAATATCCGAAGAAATGAGAGAGAAAATTGGATGTTGATGTTTTTGTTGAGAAAAGAAGTATAATATTTTCTCTAAAAAACCTTGCAATATAAAAGGTAATGCTTGATCTACTATCTTTGACAATAAATATATCGGTATTGGATAGAGTATGATAGAAATTTGTTCATGTCACAATAAATTTGTGATATATACGAAGTCTACTCACGCCCCTTGGGATCAGGTAAATGCGTGATTACAAATTAATATGATTGTAGAGGGGTGTCACGCATCTTATTAAATACCATCATAGTGTCGGTGATATTAAAATAATAAACAATATAAAAATATTATAAAAGAATAAAATTCATATAGAAAATTAATACTTGATAGGAATTATATATATAAATAATTTTCTTGAGCATGTTGCTTCAAACATACAATCAAACTATTTATGGCGTAGTCTTCAAAGCTTAATTGAAAGCACAATGGCTGAGAGCAACGTAACAAACCTGTACAGAAATGAATATTTGTTCCACTCTGGATATATTCTGAGGTTCTGAGCAAGCAACTGTTGGTGATAGGATAATTAATTAACAATTTAAAACCACGGAAATGACAGCATCAACTCCTTTGCCAACCTGTTCCGATTCTTGTATCAAGCAATTCAATTAATTAATATATTCTTTAATAAAATTTAACATGGCACAGTAATATTTACTTGTCTCGGAAATGCATCTAGCACTAGACATATTCCAAATAACTGTACTCGCTCTATACGAACGATAATATAATGTTTCCATCTTAATCTATGTCTCTGATATGACGAGCACTCGTCATTTGAGTGATGTCTGAAATTGCACTTATTATCAAAATACAAATTTTTTGTCATCCGAGGCTGAGGTAATGCAAAGCATCCTAGCATACCTGATTCATGAAGGTAACAAAAAAAGTAAGCCAGGATTGTAGTATCAAATCAAGCTCATTTTATACTTTCTGCTCTAGCCACGGGTTTTGAATATCATGTCATCAATATTCAACACGTTTTCTCGAGTCTTTAACTTTTTTATTTATATTAACAAAGATATAGGATTGGAAATGATTGACGAGTTTTTTTAATTACATTTTCCTTTTCCAATTATCCAAAAAAGTATATTATCCTAATAAAATTATATGAGCAGGATATTGTCTTTATTAAAAAAAAAAAAGTATATTACTCGTTATCTACTGAAGTTTCTAAATTATAATTTTCACTATGAGAAAGGACACTTTGGTGATGCTCATTCGGTTTTACATCATTACAATAATTTCCATTATCTTTTAAAATATTTTGGATCAGAAATCACTCCTCCTTTCTCTCTTGAGGGGCTCGTTTATTTGACCCAAGTAAATAAAAAATAATAAGCATATCATGTATCATCATCACATCACCCTACTTGTAACCCATGGCTACATTTGGAATCATTTGAACTTTTGGGTAAAACCGCCAAGGGCAATTCTCACCTCCAAAGGAGTAGAGGTTGGCACCGCGCAATAACTTTATTAATCAGTTAACCGGTCTAATTTAATTACATAAAATTTTTTAACTGGCAAAACGAATAATTCGAAAAATATAACTGATATGGTAATAGCATATGCACCATCCAATCCAATCAAAAAAATTTTATAGTCATAGTATGGTTTCTATTCAAATAAGAATTATTCGTTTTATTTTTATTTTTGAATATTCGAATTACAATGAATGTTTATTCGAATATGTAAAACGAATAATTCGAATAAAACGAATAAAACGAATAAGAAACTCTAATACCCAAGCCCACCCAAAAGAAAAAAGTAAAGATTGATGTTCTCTACGGCAGCAGCATTACTCATATTTATTTCATCATTATAAACATGTTGGCATATAGATTATGTTTGGTTTTTGTATATTTACTTTTATATTCTAGTTGGAATAAAATTTGTAACACTGTTAATATTAACCGGTTAACGGTTCCAACCTCTACTAACACTAACAGATATAATATTCAACAAATAAACTTGACCTTTGCTTGATTTATCTTTTCAATATAATTTAAGATTATTATTCCACAATCTAAAATTCCACGTTGATGAGGAATTTCGCCAATATAATAAATTTCATTTTGAAAGAGATTCCATGAAATTCAAATAATCTGTTAATCATGTAATTGGAGCTTCACAATATAAAAATAAATCTTCTTGGTATCTAAAATCTAGTTTTACAACTCTAATGATTATAGCTTGTGCGTAATTATATAGATATTTAATTTTTTTCCTAATAAACTATACATGATATCAATTTTCCATCGTTTAAACAATTGTATAAATAAATATATTAAAATCATTATTTTTAAACCACCATATCATTAATGTAAATGGTTACACTATTAAATTCTTATTCTCGTAATTTGCCAGAAACGGAAAGAAATACATTCATCACATTTCCTTTCTATCATTTGACCATCTTTCATAACAAAATCAGACGAACATTATTATGTCACAAAGAAATTTCAAGGATCTCCTTTTTAATAGCAGGGAAAAACTAAAACAGAAAAATCAATAAATTTTGTAATGACACCACCAAAATTATTCTGTGACTTGTCTGGTCTGTTGCACATTGATTGATATACAATGGATGATAATATTAATGAACAAATGAAGGAAAGCATTTTTTTATTTAAGTTAATATATATCTGTATGTAGATTATTATATAGAATGAAAATAAATAAATGAATGATTTATTCTGATTTTTGTTGTTTACTAGATCTTTCTTGTTCTCGTTTAGCATAGATCATTGATGTAAATGGCCTAATAACAAGTAAAGAGAGGAAAACGATTAATTATTATTATCATTTCAATGTGTATATTCATATATAGATAAATATCAATCAATCAATCAATCAATCAATAGAAACTTTAGAAGGAAATACTTGCCCTTCATATTGAATTGCAACCAAGTAAACAATAAAAGCAAAAGTTGATAAAAGAATTCCAGCTGGGCTTGCATACCTAATTATGCACAAGCACACACATATATATAATAAATTTATCACTTGTTTAATTAATTATTTGTCAGTGTGATTTTTCCATAATATAACAATGATAATAACTACCATAAAGCAGTTCCAAGAAAACTCATTGTAGAACCATAATACATTGGATGTTCAAGAATATTGAAAGGAAATGAAGTGACTTTTTCATTCATCAATATGCCAAAGTAATCACCTTTATTTTTTCCAAAACAAACAAACAAACATTAGCATTAACAATAACATTAACATTAACATTAACGTCAATATCAAAATAAATGATAATAATGCAATCATTTACCAAGAAAAGTTCCAGTAATTCCTAACATGTAAGTCGATGATGTTACAAAAAGCATTCCTGAACCAAACAATATTGCTCCCAACAATTTTACTTGATCATTGTCAAGTTCTGGTAAAGTTGGTTGATTTTCAATTGCCTGATGATACCTAATTAATTATATTCTTGTCAATATGGCGATCATTAAAAAACCAAAAAAAAAGGAAAACCTACAAATAATCTCTTACAAGACCAAGTGAGAAAATAGTGATAGCCAAACTATAACAACCGAAATAAGGATTTCCACCTGACAAACGAGTTATAAAGTGTGTTTTATACTCTGTTTTTTTTATATTTTTGGTTCCAAAAGAAGAAATAAGAATTTTTAGTTATCTATCTATCTATCTATCTATCTATCTATCCATCCATGTTTTATTTATTATTTATTAAACCAGAAACATATGTCATAAACAAAAAATACGTATTCACACCTTTCCTTGCTACCAAGTTCCAAAAAACAGGATTAAATAGAATTGAAGCAAAAGAAATCCAAAAACTTTTTTGATTAAAATCTATCAATTCTGAGAATTTTTCTGCCATTTTTTTTTTTTTTTTTGAAAAGATTTTTCTTGATGATCGATTGATGTAACATTTGAAATTTCTGTTTATATTTTATAGAAAAGAAGTATTCAAATGAATCATCTTGACTTCAACTAATAGAAACTTTTTGATATTTAATTTTGTAGAGTATAAGTTGAAATCAACTTCGATCAACCTTTCTTTTTGTAATCATCATCATTATTTAGAATCACTCATCAGATGTCAAATGTGTGTTCACGTACATTTAAGGCACCAAATCAAATCAAATCGAATTCAAAAAAGCTGTTCAAATCAAATCAAACCAGATTTAAAAATAAAATATGTTGGTGATAATAACAATAAGACAAATTCAGTCAAACCTCATTTCAACGAATCAATGCCTCTATAAAAATTTGCTACAGAATACATGCGGAAAAAGCGTATTCTTGATTAGAAAAACTCATTTGATATGAAATACATACGGGAGAATGCATTTTCCCATACCTAAAAATACGACAACCATGTAGAACCAGCGCGGAATGTTTTTGGTCTGGACAATAAAAAGGACCATAATAATGATGTGAAAATGAAAAAAAAATGTACATCTCAAGTAGTTTACTATTGTTTTTTGAAAATTTAAAGAACAATATCTCAAAACAATAATGTGTAAAGTGGGTATGCAGTTGGCATTTGATATAAATCGGCAAATAAATCAGCATATCAGTTGATTTGGTTTTTTGGGCCTTTTTTCAAACCTTATGTCTTATTGTGTCTTGATGTTAAACACGAGTATTTTTAATGTGTAAACTGGTCAGTAGAATGATAATTAACCCTAAAAAAATTTATTTGCTCCACTAAAAAAACTATTTTGCTATTCAACAGCCTGTCAAACCAATGGGTTTTGCTAGTATAAACATTATGGTCATACCTTATTGAATTTTGGGATCAAACAAAATCAGTGCATATGTGTCACAAGTGAATAAATAAAAAGACTTATAGAAGCCTTTGAGCTTTGTAAAGGAGCCACTTTATGGTTATTAAGTACCATCAAGCATGCTGATGGATTCATAGAGGCTTTCTAGGTACAAGTAGGCAAGAGCCAAAGTAAATTCATAGATCACCAAATTATTATGAGTTACTTGACAAGAGTAGCCGTGATCGGTGGTGTTAATCAAAAAACTACCTTGAAACATCAGGAAATTTTTTTTGACGCAGATTTATGTAATTATTACACTATTTATGTAAGTTTACGGCGGGCCCTGTAATATTATGCAAATATTACAACTTTACATATTAAAATTTATGAATGTAATATTACGGCAGAGAAAATTTCCTGATGAACATCATCATTCAGAAAACTGTAAAAAATTTATTATAATTATTAGATGATGAGATGCAAAGTGCTAGCGAGGACGAGAGGTCTCATTATAATTTTTACCATCATTTTTTATTATCATTTGTGTAATGACTATTTAATCAAATACCATTTCGAATGCAACATAAAAAGCAAAACCAATGCACATTTTTATGCGTTTTTGTAGTAATTTATTAGACTACTCAATCAATGCACCATTTGGCCACGAAATAGTCTATTTAATTAAAAATCACATCATTGATTATGAATACACAATAGGATACTTGCATCCAGTGCTATTAGCATAGGATAAATAATTAATGTGTACACAAACTTCTTTTTCTTTGTTTTTTTTTAAAAAATGTCTCAACAAAAAAGACAAGACAAGAGAAGTAAAGAATCCATTCCAGATATTGCTGGGTAAAATTCCAGACATTGTGATAAAATTTTAGACTAGGCCATTTTCCGGTTGCACATTTTTGATATTAATATTAATGCAAATTCTTTATTTGAATTATTCACTTAGTTTTATTTGAATTGTTCATTTTATTTGTTTTATTCGGTTTATTCGGTTTATTCGGTTTATTCGGTTTTGTTCGTTTTGTTCGTTTTGTTCAGTTTATTCGAATTATTTGTTTTGTTCGTTTTCAAAAGTTTTTCGGTAGATTGCTCCGGAACCGACAAAGCAGTGATAAAGAATTCTTGGGCTTGTAAGGTTGGTTTTAATTCCCCTTTTTGTTCGTTTTGTTCGTTTTGTTTGGTCTATTCGTTTTATTCGTTTTATTCGGTTTGTTCATTTTGTTCGTTTTATTCGGTCTTATTCGAATTATTCGAATTATTCGTTTTATTCGTTTTATTCGGTTTATTCGTTTTATTCGTTTTATTCGGTTTATTCGTTTTATAAAATATTAATCCACAGTTTGATGCAACAAATTCTATATTAATATTAATATTATTGTTAAGGGATTTTAACTTGTAAAATTATAAATAGGGCTTATTTCCTTTAACAATTTTCTATAGAGATAAAAAATAGTACCTCTGGTTAGTTATTAACACGTCCTCTTTAGGGGAACCAAACCAAACCAAACCAAACAACAACTCTTACGTTTTGTCATCTTGGACTCTGTCAAAAAATAAATTGTTTTTCCAAAAAAAAAAAATCACGTCAACAAAAAAAAACCAATAGTGGAAATTTGTGATATTACATATCCTGTAATACATAATAATAAAATAGTAAAGCTTTATGTTAATATAATACTTTCCCATATTGAAGAAATAAAACATGCATATTTGTATAAAGCTCCGAACTTTTCAGAGCTTAGGCTAAAAACTACTTGGCAGTTCTTGGTATTATTCTAATTTTTGCACTCTGCTTATTTAGAACCAAACCCGCTAATTTTTAATCCAATAACAACCAGTGAATGAATTTTTTCTGGAGGCACAGACTTAATTACTCAAAGGTGTTGTATTTTAGAACCTGAAACAATAAGAGTTTAAAAGTTTGCAGAGACGATGAATTTTATATATGAATTGAAAAAATAGAACGTCCTTAAGATTTCTATTCGAATAAAACGAACAAAACGAACACAACGAACAAAATGAATGAAACGAACAAAACGAGTAATTCAAATAAAGTGAATAAAGCGAATAGAATGAATAATTCGAATAAAACGAATAAAGCGAATAAACGGATAATTCGAATAAGAGTTGTATTACGAATAGGAACTCTAAACGTACAAATTTTTGTGGTGAATCTATGAATATGTAACTATTCGACCTATAATTGACCAGCTGTATCTAACATGGCATTACGTAAAAAATTCAATCATGATCTCCATACCATCGTTACCATGGTATAAAATTATAGATTATGTATGTATTTAGAAACAGGATCCTTCCAGCATCTCTAATTCGTAACACATCTTCTAAACTAGGCTACAAGTTATTATAATTTTTTTGAAGTTATTATGTATATTTTTGCATAGTTAACGAATTTAGAATGTCTGAAATTTTTGGGTCAAATGTAAAACCGAACCAAACCGAACCGTTCGGAGCTTTATATTTTTAAAAAGAAATAATTTTATTCTTTTTTTAAATATATTTGAAATGAATTATTGATCTATCCAATTACATTTTCACTGCATACATATGCTCATTCAACATCTTATTAGCTATTTGAAATAAACAATGTAACTTACTATCATCTTCCTTAATAATTACATCCTTATATTTAAAACAATTAATTCGTTTTTTTATGGATAAGACTTTCTCTGGAATATAGATAGACGACAATGTGAGTTAAATGGTTAATAATAAAAAACTATATTAGAAAATATATATAATACCTGTTTTTTGTTTTTATTATTAGCAATAGACGATTTTCCTATGCTAAAAGTCTTTAATGGATCATTTTTTCGTTTCTAAACAAAAATTTATTTATAGAAGAGTTCCATTGTAAATAAATGACATAAAGAAAGTTGTCATCATTATGATTATATCATTATTTTAACAACCTTAGGAATATATTTGGTTTTTTTTTTCGACTTTTTAGATTGTTGAAATGATTTTTGAAAAGGAATATTTCCCGAGACTTTAGAATCTGTATGCTCTGAATCAGTAACAGATGATGATGTTGGTGGTGGTGCAATTTTGGGCATAAGATATGGTGGAATGTGTTTCATATGTTGTTGAACTCGTGAATGATGAAATACAGTGTCATGACGAAGAACCTTTAAATCGTTCGGGTTATCTTCAAAATGTGCCTATGAAAGTTAAAGGGAAAAATCAAAAAGGGGATTTTTTTTTCATAAATTATAAAATTAAAATTTATATAAATATAAATATATATAAACCTTTAATTTTTCGGATTTTAATATTTCAGATTTAATATCTTTGAGTCGAGCTTCTTTAATCATAATTTTTGTTACTGCTCTCAATGCATCTTCTACACGATATCTAAATCCTTCAACTTGTTTTATATCAAAGGTATAAGGATTAATTTTTGCTCCAGATAGTGTTTGTTTTTTTTCTACTCGTCCATAAATTTCTTCATCATGTTTTGCTGCAGGATATGTAAAATTTTTGTTTTTCCCTACTAACTCTCTTGGCACAATAAAACTTAAACTCATTCCTTTTTGGTTTGCTCTTGCTGTCCGTCCAACTCGATGAGTATAAGATTTTGCTGAAGTTGGAAAATCAAAATTAATCACTGCTGCGACATTAATAAAATCTATACCACGAGAAACTCCATATTCTTTATCTTCTCTATTTTTACGTAATTTTTTCGTTTTTGGTCCCTCTTCCACTGTTTTTGTTGATTCCACTATTGGACTTTCTTCTTCTTGTTCTATGATATTTCAACTAGCTGTGATGAGTTATAATTTATTAAGCAATAATCAATGAAAATAAGATTTAATTTATAAATTTTACCATCATCGTTTTCCTCAACTGATTCATTATCGCTGTCTTTTTCACTTTTTAAATCACTTTCATCAGTTGCAATAATATAATCATATACTCCTTTATTAAATTCCTGCACAATATGAAACCTATGTATAAATAAATATATTTATTAAACAAAATACATTATATATAATTATAAACCAACTCGGGGGGGGGGGACAATATTAATATCTTTCTTATATATATACACAAACCTGGAATTTAAAGGTAATTCAGAATTTAATACGCAGCTTTTAATTGAAAATTGTTCTAAAAATAATTTAAGACGATAACATCGATCTATATCGTTTACAAATATGAGACATTTGCCTTTGATAAGACCAAGCTTTAACACAACATATATTAATAGAAATTTGTCTATTTCTGAGCATCTATATCAAAAAAGGTTTCTTTAATTGATTAATATTTTTTTAGAAGAAAAATCAATTTCAGCTTTTACAAATTTATTAAATTATTCAAATAATTATTTTATAGACATTACCTAATACAATATTGAGTGAGCAAATTAGGTTCATCTTGTTCATGTAATGTTAATATTGCCTATATGGTAAATTTTATAATTATGTCATAATTGAGGTTTTGAACTTAATTAATTAAAAAATATATACATTGAGTTATTAAATACCGTACTGGATTACGCAATAATAAATGTTTAAGATTTTCTACATCCTGGAATATAAAAAAAATCACACACACATATATATTAGAAATTGATTTTACAAAGATCTTTTAAATATTAAAAAATTATATAAAACACCTTAGACAATGTGGCACTCATCAAGTAACATTGGAACATTTTTGGTATATAGGTCAAAATTTTCATTATATCTTCCTCATATCCATATGAAAGTATGAGATCGGCTTCGTCAATAGCAAGTGATTCAAGTGAGTTATTAATTACAAGACTCTTTAATAAAAAGATAAAATATTAACATAATTAAATGCAATTATAAAAAAATTAAGGATTTAGCAAACAATATTTTTTACAAACTTGTGATTCAAGATGTGCCAAAACTCTACTTGGTGTCGAGACAACTATATCAGGTAATTCTGATAATATTGGTCTTTAATAAAAATGTATTAATAATAGTTATTGGGGAGAGATATATAATTTACACGAAAAAAAAAACAAACAAACAAACAATGGTCACCTTTGAAGTTGTAAGGGTGTATTATTAGCAATATTTATAACCCTTACTTCTTTAGAACAATAGAGCAGAAAATCATTAATATGCTTTGTTATTTGTTCTGCAAGTTCCCGTGTTGGAACAAGAATAAGTGCTCGTGTTGCCATGCGTTCTGAAGAATACTCGGAAATATTCTGGATAATAAATAATTAGAAATTGAAAAAATTTGACAGTTTATTCTAAAATTTATCTTTGAAATCAACAAAACTTACTTCTTTTACATTCAATATTTTTTGAATAATGGGCAAACAGTAAGCAGCTGTTTTACCACTTCCTGTTCTTGCTCTTGCTAATATATCTTTTCCGGATAAAGCTAAAGGAATAGTTTTTGCTTGAATGAGTGTAGGTTTATGAAAATTAAGTTTCGATAATGCACGGGAAAGTCTTGGATCCAAATCTTTGAATTCCATTGAAAAAAAATTATCAAAAATATATTCACGTGATGGGAAAGACAATCGCAGATCAACTCAACATCTATGATTTTCTGCGGCGAAATAAATCTGCCTTGTTTAAAAATATTATTATTTCTAAATAAAATTAAAATTATAATATATCATTCATTCATTTAAAGTTTTAGAGAATTTTGTCCATTACCATCTAAAATCTTGTTTTTATAGAATTATCTCAACAACAAATTGGAGAACTAGTCAAAAGCGTTCTTTGGAGTTGATCAAATTCTTATGTAATTATGTAACCCGATTTTGCACATCAATTAAAATCTGAACAATTTTTTTTTCAAAAATAATAAAATAATAATGGCTGGCTCTTATGATCGCGGTAAATTTTTTTGTTTTATTTAAACTCTGATTTTTAATACGAGGTTATAATTAACTCAATTTAGTTATTTTTTTCTAGCATTAACTGTTTTTTCACCGGATGGGCATTTATTTCAAGTTGAATATGCTTTAGAAGCTGTTAGAAAAGGAACCTGTGCAGTATTTTATCTTTATTGTTTACGTTTAACGGATTCAATCAATTTTATGTTTATTGGCGATAAATTAAAATTTCCATTTAATTCGTTATATAGGTGGGAGTCCGTGGTGAAGATTGTGTTGTTCTTGGTGTTGAAAAAAAATCTGTTCTTAAATTACAAGATCCACGTACTGTACGAAAGATTGTCATGTTAGATGATCATGTATGCATGGCATTTGCTGGTACAGAATTATTGTTATTGTTGTTGATCTGTATTGTTTTGAGGAATGAAGGATTATAAATTAATAATAAAAATAATAAAAATATATCCTTAATGAATTGTAAAAGGTCTTAGTGCAGATGCAAGGGTTCTTGTTAATAAAGCTAGGATAGAATGTCAAAGTCACAGACTTACTGTTGAAGATCCTGTAACTGTCGAATATATTACACGTTACATTGCAGGTGTTCAACAGGTATGTGGTTGTAGTATTTTAAATACTCACTCAGTTAAACATTGAATAAATATTTAGATATTATTATTATTTTTAGAGATACACACAAAGTGGTGGTGTACGTCCATTTGGCATCTCAACACTTATTATTGGATTTGATGCTAATGATAAGGTACCAAGACTTTATCAAACTGATCCATCTGGCATATATTCAGCATGGAAGGTAAACATTACAAATGCTGCTTATTTTTTTAAATGTTTTAATTAAAAGAGTTTTTTAAATTTGATAAAAATTTTTAAAAAAAAATCAAAAGGCAAATTCAATTGGAAGGAGTTCAAAAACTGTTCGTGAATTTTTGGAAAAAAATTATAAAGAAGGTTTATCAAAAGATGAAACTATAAAATTGGCTGTCAAATCTCTCTTAGAAGTATGATAATTATTATATATAGATGTGTATGTGTATATATATTTGATAATAACAGTTTATAATTTATTAGGTTGTGCAAACTGGTGCCAAAAATATCGAGATTGCAGTGATGACTAATGATGCTATAATTAAGGTAAACAACCCTTTAACAATTTTTGGTATTATTACTATTACTAGATCTTTATAGGTTTATGTAATTTTAATCAAAATGGTTTTAATCATTATTAATATTATTATAATTCATAAACATACAGAGTTTGGAAATTGAAGAGGTTGAAGTTATAGTAAATGAAATTGAGAAAGAGAAAGAGGCAGAGGCAGAAAAGAAGAAGAAACCAAGTACATCCTAAAACATCAAAATAAAAATAAATAGTGGTGTTTGATTGATTGAAATCTTTAAATGTATAAATGATATTAGTATGTATTATAAACTCGATGTTAGTGTAACATTAATTACCATATGAATTCATATATATATCTTTTCTGGAATTGCAATCAAAAATGTCAACTTTAATTGTTGCCTCTAATTAAATTATTATTAATATTATTTAATTGAATTTACCCTTACCAATGATTTTGTTCTTGTATGAGAAGCAAATGTTGACCTGTTATTAAACAAATCATCCATTAATTACATTAAACATTGGTATAATTTGAACTGTTTAAATATTAAGTAAAAATAAAAACATTATGCTAATATATTTATTCTTTTTTTTTAATGATAAAATTTCAAAACTAAAAATTTCAAGGAAATGCATGCTTAAATGATTAAAGAGAGAATGTAAACGAATTTGAAACAATGTTTAATTTTAAAAAATTTTTTGAATAAAAATTATTTTTTATTATTGCAAATTAAACAAATAAATTAATAACCAAATGCATTGAGTTGTTGTTGAATTTTCTTTAACTCTTTTTCTTTGTTCTTTAGAGCATTGGCCTTGATTTGAGTTTCTTTCTTTTTATGTTCATAAAATTCTTTACTCTTGGCTTTACGTCTCTCCTCTAATCTCTCAACAACTTCTTTATATTTCCATCCAACTTCTTTTGATAAACGTGAAATTGTTGTAAATTTACGACCTGGTTTCAATTTCAAAACTTTCAAAGCATCAGGTATTACCATTCTTTTTTGTTTATCATATGGTGGTGGTATACCCTCAAAGATCTTAAGACGCTTTAACGCTGCAGCTCCACGTGATGATTTATGTGGAATCATACCACGTATTGTCTTATAAAAGATTTTGGATGGTGCCCGAAAATGAAATGGTCCACGTGCTGGATTTACAATTGATCGCTTGCGAAGATAGGAATGATACTTGACTATATTTATATATGTGTGAGTTTATATTTGCATTAAGGTCAATGAAACAGAAGTTTTTAAAAAGAAAGTCAAAAAGAATTATTGATTTAATTACTCTTGTTTCTAAAAAATGATCCAGATACATTTAAATCTTCTGCACGGACAATAACAATTTTTTGACCTGTTAAAATTTGTTTGGCCACAATTGATGCTAAACGTCCTAATAAATGTCCTTTAGCATCAATAATAACAGCCTTTTTTCAAAATCAGATATAATAGTATTAAAAAAAACAATAAAATTAATTCACGAGTTAAATTATTAATTTACCTTTTCAAATTCACTCATATTGATGTGTGAAAAAAAAATCGAAGAAAATTTTTCTAATGATTTACATGTTACACATCTTGTGTTACAACAAATAAAACGTCTAAAAAGATTATGATTTTTAAATAAACAGTGTAATTTGGTCAAAAGAACCGATAATGACTATAAAATATAATTTTTAAAAGCTAAAGAGAAAGAGTCAGGCAAGAAAGAGTTATATAGTATACTGTGTCTGTCTAATGTTGCTTGCCGAAACCTCTTAGTGACTGTCGAACAATTAGTATATATCTTGTCAAAACTCTGACAATTTACAAAACCCCCAAATGCGAAACTCTGCCGAAACTCTAATTAACAATTAATGTGTAATCTGTCGAAACTCTGTTAATTGATTTCTGGAGGAGTTTCGCCCACAACCTTACAATTTTGAATATACAAATTTTTATTAATTATTGCTATAAGCTTTTCCAAGAATTAATAGATATATTCTCCTTGTAATAAATAAATTATAATATTATAAATAAATATATGGGAATTGGACTAGGAAATCAACCTCTGGGACCTCAGGACCAAAATTATGATTTTTGATTCAATTTATTCTATTATCCAAATCCATTTTGTATAGTGCACGCCACAATAACCCATCAAATAACAATTGACCAACTTTAAAACCTAAAAAGAAAATATTGCATGCTTATCAGAAAATTATTGATACAATATTTGATAGCTTTTGACTAGTTCTACAATCTAATCATCGTTCACGTTTACCACTGTTCTGGGTGTCATTATTGGAAATTATTATAATTCTATATATTTCGCATAAAAAAATTTTTTTGAAAGCATCAATTCTAAACGCGTAAACGATGGGACTGGCCATCTAATGTTAAATTCGTTGTAGCAAAAAGTGATCGGATCGACAATCGATAAAGTCTATTTTATTTGGGTTAAAATACAAATATACACGATAAATAAAAAAAAATATTATCTATTTGAAAATGATGTAAAGCCAGTTTGTGTTTGGTCTTTAATTCTTTGATAATTCAATTTTCTTTTTAATGATTTAAAAGCTTTAGATTCATTGTAGTCTACTTTAGTATCACCTTGCTAAAGAAAATCATCTGATGTTGCAGCAAGATGCGTTAATGTTGATATTCCATACGGAACGAATAATTGATAATGTTTCTGTTTTTTTTTTGATCCATCATTATCCCAACTCGCCTTAAACTGGATATTAAAAAAAAATGGATGATCTGTTATGTGAACATATATCATTGTTTACACATTAATTAATATATATAAACAATAAAGCAATCGAATGCAAAGGGTTCGTGGGCCCAGATTCTTTAATATCGACATTTGATGCCAACGCAATATTTCGAACCATGGGAAGGGTTTGTGGTGGAGGATGGCAAGGAACATGTGAGTATGTTATTAACAAACAAACAATTTGTGTGATTAATTTTAATAAATAAAAATCATGATGTGGTGTTGGTGACTCTGTTAAGATTTAACTAGGAATTTCGTGATGACAAATAACTCAATCTCATCCAAATCACAACAATAGAGAAGACACCACTGTCAACCAGTTGAGATGATTAATCGAGATGGATTAAACAGTTTGCAATAATGATAAAAAATTTTTAATGTTTTCTTGTGTAAACGAACACTATTTAAACCATTTATATTTTTTCGTTTTTCTTTATCGTTTGTCATTCAACATGTAAAACAAAAAAATAAAATTTATCCACTGATCTTGACGCACAGCTCATTCTGACACGCGCGCATCTAAAATGTTCGAGTAGGCTAAAAATATAATAAGAAAATAAAAAGACGCCTGAGTTTGCGGGTAAGCCTTCACACTGCACAAGATGAATGAGTTACCAAATGAACTACAAACAAATGAAATACTTGTCAGCATTTTAACATTGAGGAGAAGCACGAAAAATGCACTCGTGGTATTCAATACAGAAGTTGTATACTAGATAGAAAGAGGCATAGA